CATAATGTGGATGAGTATCTGGTTGTAGCTGCATTTTGTGCACGTCAAGATCACGTAAGCTTGAATTATGCAACCCCATAACAACATCAAAACGATGCCATAGCGTACAATTTAACGTATCCCAATAACTATAATTCAGATATTTCAGTTCAATTTCATTTAATGAAGACTACTATTCTGAAACGAACATTGTGTTCCATAATAAGGTACAAAACGGTGAAAACTTCAATACCTCTCGAGAGCTGGAACTCTTCTTTCAATCATTAATTCTTTGTATTTTGAACATAGACCAATGCATATGTACAGTGATATAGCATCATAATTAGAAGATATATGCTCTTCGCATGATTTCTAAAATGAATAAAATAATTTAAGGAATAATTTTAGGAGAGTAATTGTCATAATACAACTTTACTGTTATGAAAAAAATGTACATTTAAATACCAACTAATAAAGTAGTTATCGTACGCATCATAATTTCGCTGAAAAGTTCAAAAGAAGTTTGTCCACTGATCATGAAAAAATCCGATATAAACAAATATTCATGTGAGGAATGATCCACGAATGTAAATTGTAAGCTTCGAAATAAATTTTCAAATTGAAACTGCAATTTTCTTTAATAGAACGCAAAAATAACTGAAATTGTATAAAAAGACTTATGAATTACGTGGCTCTTTCTTAATATGAACGCTCCGTGATACATCGCTTGGCTTCTAGTATATAACACAATTTTTGTGTGCAAACCAAAATGTCTTCCAAAAATTATCATATATTCATACAAAAATAATACGTTTTATAGATAATATATATTGATACACCTACCATTCCCTTACTATATTAATTGAACAACGAACCCGTTCATTTCCTTGTTGTGCTGCATGCGGTACAATAAGTGGGGACATTAAATCAGATGATAACAAGCCATCTCGATTACCCAGAGAAAAAACAGTTGCCCGATTCCGCACCTACAATAACATATCAAATTTTATGTATTATAATAAGATTATAGGAAAATTATAGTGTCAATAAAAACCGAAACGTTTCGGTAATTGTTAAAAAGTACGATATGATACAAGAAATGATAAGCTAAGAAAAAGACCTTAATTAAAAAACATACTCTTCCACATATAATATCAAAACGAACAACATACTTGAGATTTTAAACTGAAAATACTAGTTGTCTTTATCGTATTCTCTGCGCCCAAAAGGTCATCTTTAGTAGCTACATCATCTAACTGAAATTGTCATGGATGATATCGCCGCATATGGTAATCCTGAGGCAGGATGCAATGTTTATGAATATTAGCAATGATTACTACCAATTCTAATTAATGTCAAAATTAAAGAGTAAAAAGAATTGTGGCACAAATCTTGCCGTTGTACTACATAAATTGAAAAGCAAAAAAGATAAACTGCATTGAACTGACACGCAGGACGTACCAGCAAGCGGAACAATCTGGACGCATATGTTTTGAAATAAGTGAAAAACATTTTACTGATAACATTAACGTATTCATCCCGAACCTAAATAAAAACTTACAAAATATTCAATATGAACATCAATATTCATTACTCATGATTAATCAAAGCACTAATTTTCATCAAGTTTTCTTAACTATATTTTACTTTCATTTCTTTCAAATCATGAAATGTAAAATTCTCATTTTTTTCATTAAAAAAAGAAACTAATATCAATAATACTTACTTCTCGAGCTAAATGTCTGTCATTTGCCAGCAAAAATTCGTAAAAGAACCTTAAAATTTTAATGTAGTGATTAAATAGTTTTTGAGAAGTGTTCCTTGAAGATTTGATAATTTTTAAGCGATTTCTCTAAATAAAATAATGATAATCAGTCAAAAAAGTAAATTAGATCTAAACAAATTTTATAGACTTATTTGTAATAACCAACCGATTTTTAAGAAGTGCTCCTTGTGGAATTTGATAATTTGTTAGTGGTTTCTTGAGAGACGAAATCTTCAAAAGCAGCCACTCTCTTATTTTCGCCATTGCCTGAATTTTTTTTTTATCAACAAGCACTTCGTAAAGATACAATCACTTAAATCCAAAATTACCTTGTATTTCAAATTCTCGATAACATCGTGTACATCAGAAGTAGCTTTTGCGTCACGGAATTCTTGTGCTTTAAGGAATTGCAGCTTATGTTGAAGTTCGTGGAGTTGTTCAAGAAATTCACGTTCGCCAACATCTCGTTCAACGATTATTCTGCAATACATAAAAGCATCAATAAATCAAATAAATTCGACGACAAACCGAGGAAAAATAACTGAACAAACAATAAAATAGAAAAACAAAAACTTTATATTAAAAAATAGCCTGGTTCTGTTACACTCTATTTCCTGTGTCGTAAGTCTATTCATAAATCAGTATTAGAGAATCAATGAAATCCAAACTGATTTGATTAAGCAAGTCTCCAACAACATTATTTTTACCGAATATATCCAAAGTCGTCTATAAAAAGGGATTTAAAAAGTGTAAAAAAAAGTGCACTAACTGTATCATATTCTGAGATACAACCATGTCATCAACAAACTGGCTCAATTCTCCTCGAATTTTTTGTCGATTTTGCAATTGTTGACTGATATCGACTGACTGCTGTTGCAGTCTTCTCATGTCTGAACTAATTGTGCCCAGTTCTGATTGAAAACTTCGAAGCATTCCTTCCAGTTGCTAAATTTATCTGTTGGTTTTTTAAATCTATTACAAGAATGAACATGCGAAGTGGAAATGAAAATAAATCAATTTGTGATGAGTAAATAATAAGAAGAAGTGGCAAATTCTGATTTATCATGTTTGACACATGGCCTGTAAAATCTTCCAATTTTTAGTGTGTTGTAAAATGAATGTATTTAGTTGCGCTAACACATTATGCTCATAGATGTAATAAAAAGTCGAATTTAACTGCGAATGCATCGTCACATGCGGTAATTTCTTCATGTAATTCAGCAAGTTTCTCCGCTTGATCGATACAATCTTTCACTGCAAGTAAATGAGCCGATCGAAGCTGTTCTTGCAGTTCCGCTGAATATTGCCGTAAATCACTACCCGATTCGAAAGCTTTTCGAATTGACACATCATCCAACTGGAAAGTGAAAATATATTTCGATGCGATAATTTTTATGGTAGAGATACAACTAAAACAATCAAGAACATGCCTAATATACATCTCCTCGACTTATTCTAGCCGAAGTTGCAACAGACGAGACATTTCGCGCTAACATATAGAGAGTAGCTGAGATGTTATTCGAATGGATTAAGTTAGAATGTATATTCTAAAGAAACGATTGCGGAATTATCAAAAAATATGTTACTATTATTCAACTTAGACATTCTTATCAGTAATTATCCTTCGTCTCTTTTACCAATCATTTATAAACGCTGCTTTTATTTTTCACTTTACATCATACCGTTATGATTGTGTTATTTTTATTGGTTAATACATATTTTTTGCCATTAAGATTCTATTTTCAACACTTAGGATAATCACAAATAGAGTGAAATAATTGATAGAGAGAAGAATTCTGAGATCTGAGTTGAACTCAAGCAATTCGAATAGGATATCATTATCATCGTTGAAATACCTATTTAGCTTTTATATATTTCATTATTTGAATATTTCAATGATAAAAATCTAAGGTCAATCGCTTATAAGAATTAAGCTATATGGATAGATCAACATGGACTAAAAAATAATATGAGTCACTACGAAAAAATTCAATTAATCTGTTAGAAATACCACAAAGAATTTAATCAAAGAAAATAACAAACAAACATTACAATTCGTCTCTTGGAATCTTTGTTAATAATTATAAAGATTAACCCCAACGTCATCCGTAATATCAACAATATCGTAATCCTCCTTCATTTCATTACTGTTCACTAAGTCCTCTTCAAATTTCTTCCAAATTCTTTAGTGTATTGAATAATTATTAAAACAGCTTCCAAAAGATTCGAAACGCAACGAATTATAACTAGTAAGTCTGCAAAAATTATATTATATGGCTGAAGGGAATATTACATCGTATCAAACATTATAAATATAATCCACTATTCCTTCGTCACAATCTCATACCTTTCTGAAATTTACAGGAAAAGATCATGACAAACTACACAGACACCCCATCACCTATGTTCTCACTAAATTTAGATAATTCAAATTTCTAAAACATTTTCTATATTCATATTACTATATCACAACAGTTGTTACTAAATTGCCCATTTACCTAAACTGATTATATCTATATGTATATTAGTTTGGATTTCATTAAAAAGATGTCCCATCGCTAAAGATCTGCTTGCAAACTCTATTATGATCTTCATAAATAATACTGCCTGCCACATTTAGTTCGATTTATATGATTACTCGAGATAGCAAATGTGATACAATCACCTTAAATTCTTGTATAGATAGAGGTTAGAATGAGGAAATTGGCAAATAACGGTGCTTCAATCATATATGCAGTTCTTGTTAGAAATAACAATCACTGAAATAAAATTTTATATTCAATCAATAACAGTGTTAAAGCACAACAAAAAAAAATACAACCATCAAGCATAAGAAAGTAATAAAAATCAGAGATTACAGAACATGAAAAATATACTGCGCAGATATAAAGGCTTGAGCCTAAGATATAACCAAATATATAACCAAATATATATACTTTATACATTTTAGAGGAAGAAGAGAAAGAAAAGGAATACTAAAAATATATTTATCCATGTTAGCGTTCAATAAGATCGGATCATCGGTTGAACCCAATCTGTTTCGTTCTTATCCAATGTCTGGTCGATTACCGGTCGGTAAAGCAAAGTAATCTAAAAAAAAGAATTATCTGCCTCAAAAAAGACCGACATTAAAGAAAAAAAAAGTCGAAAGAATGCATATAATGTAGAAAAAACTAAGCGAAATTAGAATTCGGATCATTTACATGCTAAATCTTCTTTTCCTTGCATTCTACAAGTCTAACGCTTTTTTAAATAAATCTTCTACAGTGTATAATGTGATTGAATTACCTACCTTTCCAGTTTCATGATTTTGTTCGATAATAGTATGTTTTCGCCAGTGCTGATCAAATGACTTCTTGGTTTGACCAGCTAGCGATTTCGAATAGTCAAACTCATCTATTCGTGTCTGAAATAAAGAATGTCAATCTGCAAACAGACTGAACGATGAAAATAAGTGTTCATTATTCAAATCAAATAACCGTTATCAACATAACATAACAAACCGGGAAATCATCTCGAGCATGTGCTCCACGGCTTTCTTTTCTATTCTCCGCAGCAAAGATCGTTTGAGTTGCATTTAACATTAGATTCTGTAGTTCTAATGTTTCAGCAAGATCTGAATTCCATACCAATCCTCGATCTGTTGTTTTAAGAAATTTTTGTTCTTTGAAGAGAGTTTCCATTTTTTTAATACCTTCCTGCAATATTGTTAGCGATGTGATGTTTTAACGCAAATTATGTATTTTTTTTCTCCACAATCATAGGAATATCTTCCACATCTTTCAGTTTACTGACGACTGTCATGGCATCCTTTATTCTTAATAACCCACCTTCAAAATATCACCGCGTCGGAATACAGCCGCATGCTGTTGCATCGTCTTCTGCATTTTCAATCTTAAAGCGGCGGTAGGAATGTCACCTTTAGCAAAGCGCAATTTGTCGACGTTTGCAATAGTTGATTCACCTGCACCTTTCGGTAATTCAGGAATCTTCTCAGGTGATTTTTTGGCCTTCTCTAGAATACTACAAACCGAACCATCCTTGTACGGACCATACAAATGCAATGCAACACTCAACATGTATGTTTACAAAGCTGAACAAAAAAAAATTACTCTATAGCACATGCACGTCCAAAAACGACAAGATCGAGCAAAGAATTAGCTCCCAAACGATTTGCACCATGAACCGAATGTGTTGCTGCTTCACCGCAAGCATATAATCCTGGCACCAACTGTAACTTCATACATTCCCGTAATCATTTAAAAATCAACCAACAAAAAGGTGAAAACTGAACAAATGAATTTTTTTGCAATCTGCTGAAAAATCTCACCTGGTCACCTCTATCGCTTTTGTGCGTTAAAACTTGTCCCATATAATTCGTTGGTATGCCGCCCATATTATAATGAACAGTTGGTAAAACGGGTATTGGTTCCTTCGCAGCATCCACACCGGCAAAGATCATCGCTGTTTCCATAATACCTATAGACGATGAATTAATTAATTGTAATATCAAAGTAACAAAATCTAATTTAGACAAATTCAATTAATCTCTTGAAAGAAATTGAAATTAATTCCACACAATTTGTTAACGGATTCAACATTACGAAAACTTCAATGATTATAATTATGTAGTTTATTATGTAGTTCAAAATATGGTAATATGAGATAAGTTTCCAGTAATAATTATGATGCATGTTATTCTGAATGACTAAGATTTTTTCAAAGCGTACACCCGAAGCAGATTTTCAACCAAACTTCTGAAATTTCGTTCCAAAATTATCTAACCTGGCAATTTGGTATGCAAATCTTTCGCAGGCAAGTGGTGCAACTGCAAATAAATATGATCCTTATCCTTTCCGACACCACGACCTTCCATGATTTCTATTGTCATTGCTCGCGATACGACATCTCGTGAAGCCAAATCTAATGCATTCGGCGCATACTTCTTCATAAAACGTTCACCTTCACTGTTCACCAAATAGCCACCTTCACCTTAAAAACTATGTCTTATAAAAAAACTGTTTCTAACATAATCCTTTAATCATATCATCTAATCGAATGCACAATTTACACAAAATATTACCTCGAGAGCCCTCAGTGATGAGGCAACCAGCACCGTAAATTCCGGTTGGATGAAACTGAACAAATTCCATATCGGAATTTTGCAGTCCAGCTCGTGCAATCATCGCCGTACCATCACCAGTGCATGTATGTGCAGACGTACAGCTAAAGAAAACACGTCCATATCCTCCTGTTGCGATTACCGTGTTTTTCGCACTACAAAGCACATTAGATATCACATTGTTTTACTATGTATTTGTATATACTGATTGTACTGCATAAAAACATCAAACTTACCGGAATCGATGTATGCTTCCATCTTCAAGGTCTATAGCGATAACACCAACACATCGTCCGTTGTCCATCATAAGATCAAGAGCGAAATATTCAATGAAATACCGACAGTTGTATTGGAGCGATGAACCATATAGCGTATGCAACATTGAGTGTCCTGTACGATCAGCTACACAGCAAGTCCTTCAATTATAATTTGAATGAGAAAGAGAACGTAGAAAAGCATTGCGATTACATATAAAAACGTTTTATTAAAGAATATTAAATATATTTTAAACACATTTCAAGAAATAAAATATACCGACGAGCCAAGCCTCCTTTACCAAAATTGTTGCTTTGTCCGCCAAATGAACGCTGATATATCTTACCCTCTTCTGTCCGTGAAAACGGCATTCCATAATTTTCCATTTCAATAACAGCACGAATCGCTTCACGAGTCATGTAATGTATAGCATTCTGATCTCCCAACCAGTCACTTCCTGCAGGATGAGCAGCTTACATTAATATCAAAATCATGTCATGTTAGTGCAGCTCAGCTAATAACACTTTGCTTCACTGTAACGACAATACCTTTGACAGTATCGTAGAAATGCCATCGCCAATCATCCGGATTCATATTACCTAAAGCCGCATTAACACCTCCTTGAGCAGCAACCGTATGGGATCGTGTTGGAAATAACTTTGTAATTACTGCGACCTTCTGACCACCTTCGCTAAGACCCATAGCAGCTCGCAAACCAGCTCCACCTAAAGACAAGTGACAAATGATAAAAAAAGCCTCATATTACCGATCTATCAGAAAATGTATTCAGTGTACCATATAGTATACCACATATATAAGCTGTATGAATTTTTCATTAGCGTCAGATAAAAAGTAGAGATAATATTTCCATCAATGTTAGGAAGTCTTGATCGCCTAAATTTAAAGTATTCATTAATATAAGACAGTGAGAATTTTATACAAATAAAAAAGCAACCAACCAGCTCCAACGACAACCGCATCATATGCATGATCCACAATACGATATTCCGCAATACTTGATGTTTTCGTTTCTTTACACATTGCCGATAACGAAAGGGCCCTTTGTTGACATGTTTTCGTCACCAAACGAAGGGTTGCAGTGAGCATCCTCTGATGAAATATGTATCAGTTTCCCTTATATTTCCAACCATACATTTCGATTTTATAAGTCATTTTTCCAATATTTTTCGACAATTTGAATAACTGAAGTCCATTAAATGAATGATTTGTCAAAACTTTTCGATGAAAAGTTTATTAAAAGAAATCATTGATGTAATGAACTTCAAAAGTAACCATTCATTATTCGAAATATATTTGGAGAGTTATTTAACGGGAAAGGTGCACGTTTCCTCCCATATCGTTCCTAATAGTTCTTTCATTAACAGTCTTTTCCGAGCATATTTAAAGTAAACTTCCCAAGTTTGCTTTCAGATCGTCCCTCTATCGTTGTTTGTAATAATAACAACTTTTATAAAATATTTTTTATTCTTTACTGATAATTTTCCATTTGTTGGGACATTGCAATTGTGTCTCATTTAATTTGGTACCCACTTAATGTTCGTATTTCTTAATGAACTATAACTAATTACCTATTCTGTTTGCCATAATCTAAAATATATATCATTCGAATGACAATTTACAAGGGGAAAGAAAGGGTCATAAGTCCCAATGGAATTAGCCGGAGTGATACAATGTGGAAAAGATACGTACGTGAATAACACAAATAACAAAAGTAATATGTACGTGAACAACAAAATTAATATTATGTGTGCATGAACAACAAACGTGACAGCACACCAGCACCTCAATGTTGACATGACTTGCGAATTTCATCAATGTGAGAGAAGGAAGATCTCGACGAACGTTTCAGTCGAGAGAACGTCGGGAAGAGGCAGAAGACGGTGACGGTCAGCAATGCGCTATTTCTCTGCATTGACATAACAGACTCAGGCCTATATACCCGGCAGGCACACACAGACATATGCAACACTCATATATTGAGAAAAGTAGTGGGAAGGCATAGGGAGTTGCACCTCTGCATTGCACTTTGCACGTCAGATAATCAAGTCAAGCAAGTCCAGAGGTCAGACAAAAGCGAGAGGTCATCTCAAAAAGTTTGTCATCTGAACCATTTAAAACAAAATGTGCTTAAACTAAATTTCGGCAAAAACTTGATTGTAAAATAATGACTGAAGTGAGAAACAATATGATTTTATGACAGAATATTGCTGAGGATAGAGTGGACTTGTCATAATGATAATCAGAAAGAAATTGACCAATCAATCAATGATACCATCGATTTATATTTATTGCATGCTAATATGCAATAAATATAAACCGATGGTATCATGTTAAATAATGACAAATACTTCACGATTAGAATCAAATATCACGTAAAGATTATCATTCGTTTACTTATGCTTATTTGAAATTTTTGATTGAAATAATCATACAGAAATATGTATAAGTTTAAAAAGAGAAAAACAATTTAATGAAGATGGCCAAACGTAAGTTCAGCAAGATCTACGTAAACATTTCACAATATTATTATTCACTAATACCATGAATGCGTACTTTCTGATTTTGAATCTTCTCTTCTTTTTCAGTATTTCCGGATTATTGGCGGTATAGTTTTCACTTCGTTCTCGTCCAACGTTTGATCGATCACTGGCCGATAACTCAGTGAAACCTATCACACAAATTGTTTAATCTGTCACATTTATTAATTGAATTTTGACAATTTGCACTGCTAAAGAACCTACCAATCAATGCTTATAAATGAGAAGACTTTCTACAGAGCAATTTGTGTTTGTGATTTTTCATTGATCTACTAGTGTGAATCACTGGATTACTAACGGAAGATATATCGCAATGGTATACCGCACACTCATTTCCAGTTAAAATACTACAGTAGACTGACTTTCTTGATCTGAGCCACATAGTGGAAAGTATCATTTGATGGATTAAAGCAATTTCTCAGATGCTGGGTCGGAAAGTATCACTAATAAAAATGAACAATTAATAAACGGTAAACAACAAACCTTTCCGGTTTCCGGATCTTGGTTAATGATTGTATGCTTGCGCCAGTGTTGTTCGAATGGTTTTTTCATCTGTCCTGCCAGTGGTATGGAATAGTCAAATTCATCTATTCGTTGCTGGAACAGAATACATTGATATCTATTAATCAATGGTGACAGTAATTAAAAAAATAAATTTTGAAAATAATCGTAAATAATCCGTGCATGAGTTACCTGTAAATTATTAGAATCTTACCTTGAAATCATCCCGAGCATGAGCTCCTCTCGATTCTTTTCGAGCTTCTGCTGCAATGATTGTTTGCATTGCACAGAGCAATAAATTTTGCAACTCTAATGTTTCAATGAGATCCGAATTCCAAATTAGTCCGCGATCCGCAGTCTTCAGATGTTTTTGCTCACCGTAGATTATTTCCATTTTCCTAATACCTTCCTGAAATTTGACATTGTATGGGACATTTATATTATTGGATAAATCCTGATTATTATTTTTATTATTCCTGTAATTTGTCAGATTCTAACAACTAAAATTTTAGAAATTTATTAATTAGAGACAAACGAAGAGAGAAAAGTAATTAACTAATAAGAGAAAACAGAGAGATTCATAAGTGATATAAGGGGAAAATAGAGAGAGGAGAGAGAATTATATGTTACCAATGACATCTCAAAACTAAAAATGGCGGCTATGAATTGGACAAAATTCTTCCATCAACTCCCTTTCATATTTAATAATAATTTTAAATCATTATTTTTGATACCATTTATTCAGCGGAATTGCTAGTTGATGATTCATGAATAAAATAATTTATCTTGACAATTTTTCGATATTTCAATATGATTTGATTTTCATCGTCCAACCAATCAGTTATATTATCTTGGAGATTTTTAAGTATGCTTAACTTTTGGCTCATTAATTGTTGCTCATCTTTCATCTCTTGGCTTAACTTTAAAATTTACTTCATGGCTCAAATTACAAATATATCACAATTTGTTTAACATTTAACCTGTAAAATATCGCCTCGTCGAAAGACAGCAGCATGTTTTTGCATTGTTTTTTGCATTTTCAATCGTAAAGCACCTGTATAAATATCTCCTTTTGCGAAGCGGACCTTATCCACGTTGGCAAGCGCAGCTTCACCCGCATAATGCGGTAAATCCGGAAAGTTAGAACTGATTGATTTTGCTTGTTGCAATATGCTGTAAGTGTAACAATTTATACTGCAAAGCTTCTAGAATAGTTTGGTGTACTAGTACTAGGAAGTACTTGAATTGGTACTAGAAAACTGTTTGAGTAATTGCTAAAGAAGACAAGGCTGAGTTAATTTTAATTTTTAATTCCCTATATATAAATGATACTTATTAAAATTTTCATAATTATTATTATTCTGTTCCATTTGCTGTTCCAAACTTTTATTCCATTTTTCATTTTGTGTCATATTATTCTCAATGCTATTGGATGACTGCATATCAAAATTACTTACTATTGTCACATACATGATTAGAAGTGGAAAAAAATAGTACTTATCAGCGCAGGCTCGTCCAAATACGACAGTATCAAGAAGAGAATTAGCGCCAAGTCGATTAGCACCATGTACCGAATGCGCCGCAGTTTCGCCACATGCAAATAATCCCGGCACTAACTGCACATTACATCATTTATCGTTCATTTTTTTTTTATCACAATCTCATTTATTTGAAATTAATTACAGTTTACTCATAATTATTTTTTCATATTTTTTAAAATTTCCTTTGTATTCAATTTTTATAAAACATTCATCCATTCTTTTTGATTTGTTTCAAAATTATAAAATATTTCTTCGCAGAAATATTATTAATATTTGATAAAGTGAAACTTACTTGATCACCTTTACTACTTGAATAGGTTATTACTTGTCCTTTGTAATCGGTTGGTATTCCGCCCATATTGTAATGAACTGTTGGAATTACAGGTATAGGCTCTTTGGTCGCATCAACACCAGCAAAAATTTTCGCCGTTTCCATTATTCCTGTCAATATTTATTTATATATTTTTATAAAAATAATAGTTTCATTTAGCAACTTTATGATTTTAAATAAATTTTGATTTCATAACTTTATTAAATATATATATTCGAACATTCAGCAATACATTTCTCATTTATAGTGCAATTAAAATGCTTCATACATTTCCAACTTTTTTTTAAAAAGATATTGCTTCTTAAAGCATTTATTTTTATTCGTTCTAATTTATTGGTAAATTATCGATTCCATATATAAACCTGGTAATTTATTATGTAAATGATCAGCTGGAATATGATGAAGCTGTAAGTATATGTGATCATTTTCTTTGCCAACCCCGCGACCTTCCATTATTTCAATGGTCATTGCTCTGCTCACAACATCTCGAGATGCCAAATCTAACGCCTTTGGAGCATACTTTTTCATGAATCGTTCACCTTTACTATTTATTAAATAACCTCCTTCTCCTATAATTATTCGAGCATTTAAACATTCATTAAAAGCTTGATCAAGAATAATATTTAATCCATTTGTTTTATTAGTTATCATGATGGTATTACTGCAGTGTTCATTGTATAGAAAAATTTGCAATTAATTACCGTTTGAATATTTGAAAAAGATTTATGTAGAAGAAAAATTAGCGAAAGATTGAGGAAAAGAAGAAAAAATTGCAACCGATTTAATGACCTCGTGATCCTTCCGTGATCAGACAACCAACACCGTAAATACCGGTTGGATGAAATTGGATAAATTCCATATCAGTTGTTTGTAGACCAGCACGAATGACCATTGCATTACCGTCACCGGTGGTACTGTGTGCTGTCGTACAGCTAAAATAAGCTCGACCAAAGCCACCTGTTGCTAAGACGGTAAATGGCGCCCTATAACATCTCTCATTACATTTTCCTGACTGTCCTTCTCTAACAGTACAACACGACAGTGTCTATTGTATAAGAAATTGTTATTCCATAGTTTTTTTATCTGTATAATAATATAAATAGACAATTAATATAAAAATCTTGCCGGAAACGATGAAATGTTCCATCTTCAAGATTCATCGCAATCACGCCGACACATTTTTCTCCATCCATAAGAAGATCAAGTGCAAAAAATTCAATGTAATAGTGACAATGAAATTGCAATGATGTACCATAAAGTGTATGAAGCATCGAATGACCTGTACGATCCGCTACAGCGCATGTGCTGTGAAAATATATTCCATTAATTTTTCAATATTTCAAAACAATCAGTAATCTAAGTGACAAAAAAATTGTATCTATCATTTGAAATAAACGTTATATAAAAAGTTAAGTAGAAATATTTGCGCTAAAATGAATTGAAAGCTAAAAATTTGGTTTAATTTACTCATATTATAAGAAATGCCCAGAGTATTTTTTTTAAGGAGTGAGTTCAAATTATTTGCAAGATGAAAAACCGTTTGGCAACTCCGCCTTTTCCATAGTTGTTACTTTGCCCACCAAATGAACGCTGATAAATTTTCCCTTCAGCTGTTCTAGAGAATGGCATTCCGTAGTTTTCTAATTCAATTACTGCTCGAACGGCATCTTTTGTTAAATAATGTATGGCATTTTGATCGCCCAACCAATCACTTCCTGTATTTCATCTTCATATTCTTATTTTTATGAAGGAACTTTTCTATTAAGTTACAAGAATCTGTCACAATATCACTACTTGTATTTGAATTATATGTGATAGCTAATTGTTTAAGTGTTATAGCATAATCTTGCAAAATTGAAAAACTGAATTAAAACCCTGCTCAGTTTTGCTGTTTTAGAAAAAATAAGAAACTATTATGATTCTGCAACAACTTAAACATTGTCTTAGTAATACAAATAACTCAAATACAAGTACAAGTACAATACAAGTCAAATAAAAAAAAAATCCTAAAAAAAAAATAAAAAAAAATTCTAAAATAATAAGCTGTGTGAAGTGACCTTTCACCGTATCGTAAAAATGCCAAGTCCAGTTATCCGGATTCATACTACCAATTGCCGCATTAATGCCTCCTTGTGCAGCTACGGTATGCGATCTTGTCGGGAATAGTTTCGTTATCACCGCCACTCGCAAACCACCTTCACCAAGACGTGTTGCTGCTCGTAGACCTGCTCCACCTAAATGAAACTATTCCTGAATTTCGCATATGAACAGAAAATAGTGAAGAAGTGAAAGATTTCTCTTAAGAAAAGATATATCCAAGAAACCATTCTTGGATAAAAAATTTACAATGAAAAATCGGGATGGCCGTAATTCATGTGCCCTAATTAGAATACTTATTAAATAAAGAAATGAAGGAGAATTTGTAATAAGCCAACCTAATACTGTTACTGTACTTCTTACTACGTTCTTATCACATTCAGTAAATAGTAGTTATATAATAAAGATAACAATAATAAAACAAACAAACCTATCAGGAACAATTTATTTATTAATCAATAATTAGCTTATTAAATACAATAAATCTATTGTTATTGTTATTGTATTCCTATCAGATATCAATGAATAACGATTCCATGACGTTCTATTTCCTAATCATCACTTAGTTCCTCAAATGTTAACAGCATATCAGATGATATTTTAACTATTATAAGTTAATTTATTCCAAATTATGTAACAGACCAGCTCCAACAACAATTGCGTCGTAAGTGTGATCGAGAATTGTGTAATTTGCGATGTGTGTTTTCTTCATGCGATAACTCATCAATGCCGTCAAACCATTCCGAATATTAATTTGATTTATCAGACCTTTCGCCATACACAACGTCCCCATACTATGAAAAAAATTTCCAATATTTTAAAGGTACATCATTTATCCTAAAAGTAAATATATCCGGGCATTTGCCCGAGATAGATTTAAATAAACATTTCCGGAACACATCGAACCACCTCATTTGATTCCAACAAAAAGCAAAATAAATTTGGAGTGATTTGGACTTCCCTTAAATCTTCGAAAAATTTGCATAAAAATGCGCGACGGTATGTTGCAGCGCTTTAGTCTCGCTTTTTATGCTCCTTTTTCTTTTAATTCCATTTATTGCACGAAATTTTTGTACTTCGAGATTCGAAATTTTGATGAAATCATAGTTTTGCATCAATGGTTGTTATTGCCATAAATGAAATCGATCATAATTGTAATGTCGTTGCTTTGAAGTGAACGCAAAAGCAGGCGCATTAATTTATGGGATTCATCGAATAAAATAATATAAATGATGAACCATTCATTATGATATAAATACCCGGAAAATGAGTTAGGAAAATGACAATAAATTTCATAAACACTGCTAACTAAATAAATACAAACAGCATTTGAACAAATATACACAGTTACTTAATTACTCATGATTGTTTAACAATAATAGAGAAATAGCAATCATTTATTATCATTTGTTTTCATTAAATATGTATATTGCGAAGTACATACGAAACAAACGAGAGAAATGGAGTTGAAATTCAATTAATTTAAATGTATAAAAGTCTAAAAAAGCTGTGTTATTTTCTTCCCTTCTTTTGCTATAAATTTTAGAAGTTAAGAAAGCTGTATTAGTTAAAATTTGAAATTCTTTGATATTTCAATCGTCAAATTTCCTAAAATTGCATTCATATAAGCGAAAAATTGTCAAAATTCTCAAACTAAAGGAAGGAAAGTAGACTAATGATTGTTTAGTGGTCGAATTCGATTCATCACATAAAACTTATAAGAATTAAAACCCAATTAAAATATCTATCAACAACGATTGAACCTAAAAAGTTTTTAAGGTATAATTTATTATACTTTTTTTCTGCTCTCTTCAATTTTGAATAAAAAAAAAGTGAAACTAAAGTTAGCACAAAGATAGCATAATTGATCCTAAATGGGTGTGGGAAGCGTTTCAGCAAGATATGTCGGTGAAGTAGTGGTTTGGGAATCCTTGCTCTCGATGTTGTCACCTTTCTTCCTTGATCCACATGACTGTTTAAGTTTCGGGATTGCCCACGGTTGCAGATCAGCGGAACCCCAGAGAGTAAAAAATGTTACTGGTAAGAAAGCAACAATTGCTGATATCGCATACAGAAGTTTCCACTGACCGGCAGAACCGGACCACGAATGTAGAATCAATCCATTTGTGAGTTTATTTACAATGCTTAAATCATATTGCTCATTGATTAGCGATGAAAGTTATCGTATTTTGATGCTCATTAATATTTGTTAAATTAACGATCAATCATTGTAAGTGCACCATAACATAGACTAAATTTTCCAGATTAATGTTCAGGATATAGTCATAGTCAAGAAGATCTTGATAAGTCCGCTTTCTTCATAATATGATATTAATCATTATTAATCATATCATTATTAATATAAGCTCATTTGCTATGAAAAATTTAGGTATTCTAAAAAAAATTCATTTTTTTCAATTTCAATTTCAAATTTTTTAGTAAGCTGAAAGTAAAGGTAAACTAATGACCAACTTTGCTATATGTCCAGCAGAAAAAGCAATGCCCGTGATGGAACCCGTGTATGCCGGACCTATTTGTAGCAAAGCAGTAAATACACCGGGAGTGTGCAAACCTGAAATTAATAAAGGATATAATTTCAAAAGATAAAAGCTTTAATTTAATTTTTGCAAAGTTCTCTTTCAATTAATAATCTAACCGATAATAATTTATAGTTGTGAAAAATATTCTATTAATTATAAATCAAAACAGTTAATGAATAATAACAACGAGCCATTGAATTCAATGAAATTACCAGCAAATGCATTCGCAGCACAAACAACGATCAAGGCTGGAACACTGTGTGTCAACAGTGGTATCATAAGGAGACCGATGGCAAGCCCAACTGAGCCAATACCATTGAAGGACTTGACAAGGACTGTCCTTCCAGCCGAACAGCATCCTTTCTTCCGGGCACTCAAATAGGATGACAGTGATGATGAAAGATTCTTACTGATCCATAAGGCTAATAACGGTAATGCCGAATATAAGGTACTGCGGACATCCGATAGATGAAGCACTTCTTTCATATAAATTGGTAGCAACTAAAATTATCACAGCAACTTTACGAAATAATTGCTTGTTTATCACTAAAAAATTCACTAAAACAAAAAAAAAACTGCGGGTTTTATTTTTCTCTTTTATTCATAAATATATGTATTGTGATGAGTTTTAATTACAATTCAATATTTCCTACTTACTGTTGTGGTGATAACAAGCGGATATTCTTGACAAACTACTGCTAATATTCCCACGATAAATGGACGAGATATTAGCAATTGCTTCCATGGCGTATTTTTTCGTTCTTTTCTCTGATAAAACGATTACTTTATTAAATATATTTGTTAGAATATACAATTTAGTCATTTTATATTTTAAAATACAAAAGTTTAGTCGTTTACTCCCTTTCTTGCACTTTTGTTTGAACGTATGATGAATACACAAAAAAAATTGACACTATTTTTTAAGTCAATAATGATAAATTTTTTAGAGATCGACCTGCTAAAATAAGGAAAAGAAATTGAAATTTAAACAGTAATAATTACAATATTGCTAATAACATGATCTTTCATTCGCTACCAATTATTAAACTATCAAATGTTTCATACATTAAAATTTAGATAATAAGCAATCATTTTGCCTTTTTGAATTGATGAAAAAGCATTTCTAATTTAGAATTTTTATTTTATACCAAACAAATAATAAACTACCTTTCCCAATGATTCCTCGTTAATTTTCCTTAAAATATACATCTTTTCGTCATTTTTCACACAATAATGCTTCGAGGGTTTATCAGCTGACATAACCAACCAGACAAGCAGCATTACGGCAGCAACTGTCGCCGAGATGTAAAATGTAAACTCCCAACCACCGAATACATCCTTTTTAAGACAAACCCATCCGGATACTGGTAAAATTAGTAGACTTCCTGAAAATAAATTTATTATAATATTTTACTTCAATTAAGGCCATTTTTCAGTAAATAAAAGCAAATTTTTGAATTATTTCCAAAAAAAGCAACAATAAAAATGTTCACAATATGAATCATTACTTAGTTTTTGCATTATTTTTCAGAATCGCTCATTTGGAAATCTCATTTCATTTTTTGTTTAACAAATTCATTATCATAAGAGAAACACAGAAAAGAAGAAAATAATTAAGTGAAACAGGTTCATCCGTTAATTAATTGAATTAGTTGATTTATGTAACGTTAAATTAAAAATATTTTATATGAGTATGTTTTATTCACTAGTAAACTTATAGTTCAATTTAAATTTTAAAAGTTGATAAAATTTGAACCAATTTGTCGGCCACCAGTAATAAATCCGATAGCAAAAGACCGTTCCTTGGGTGGAAACCAACGGACAATCATCGAGCTAATCGATGGTGTGAGAAGAGCGTCGGCAATTCCACAAAGAATTCGAGCGATGATTGCAAAGAGGAAATGTTCTGCAGCGAGGAGAGGTAACATCATATTGCTGATGATTGTGACAAATAGCGCCACGGCCACTGTCCATTTGCCATTTAAACGGTCTGCTTGTGGACCCACCACCAACATAAAAAGAGAGCCAATATTTTGCGCACACAATACCATACCTGAAATAATAAGAAAACGACAATCCCTAAAATTATTTTTGAAATTATACAAGTTAAATAATAATTTAAGAATCATCCATGATTTCGTAAGATATCATGTTATTGTTTATTTTTCATTCTGTTCAGGTCTATGAAAAGAGCCAATTAGAAGGAGAAAAACCTTGTTCAAGCATGGTCCAGTTCAGTCTTTTATCAATGTGACAAGATCGTATCTCAATGTAATCTTGATTACCATTAGCATTTGACTTTGAAAAACGTGCTAGATCAGGCCTATCAGTAATTAACGATTTCATTTCATTGTTTTGATCCGAGTTAGGTAAACACGGTTGTGAAATTCGCTCGGAACCATTTATTCCTTCTTCCATGCCATTTTGAAATCTGAACAAATGTTAGCATAAATTTAACTGTTGGACCCAAGAACTACAATTTCAGTCTAAAGATCATAATCTGTTAACAGTAAATGCCACAACAATTGCTTCTTTGCTACGCAAACTATATCTTTCGGCATAAATTGTTTCAGTTATTTTAAAATTAATTTCAAATTACTGTTTGAAGCCTTTGAAATACGCTAAAATTGAAAAAATTTCTGTTCGAATTAATTTATTTAATGAAAACATTTCCTTCTTTTCAATGATTTTCCATAGTACCCTCTATTTCCAATGAATGATTAAATTCAGCATTCCGTTTATCTCACTTTTTTAAAATAATCATTTACTAATCTTTTTCTTCTTTTCCGCCTATTATTCTCTTCATCTTACCCTAATCTCTCCTCTTTCTTTCTCCGACTTGTGATAGATATTCCATACGCCTTCTAACTGGTTTCAATTCCATCAAAACTGCTCAAAATGTCTTTACTACCAAACCAAAATGGAAAAAAAAGTGAAAAGGTGCACTTTATCGCAATGGTTTTTCCCATTAGCTTAGCTAAATGAAGATAAATCGAATTTAAGCATGATTGATCTGTAAATGCTAATCAAATTCCTGTTTCAATTTCACACTTTCAAATCATCAGATAAATTTTTTGAAAGTAATGAAAGAAAATAATTGAAAGGATTTGAAAAATTGATCCAATCAAGCGTTTAATTGTGCTATTATCACGAGTAATACATCATCTAACGATCGATTGATTTCCATCCACACTTTAAAATTTACAAATATTTTACATTTTTAAATTTTTAAAGTTTACATTTTTTAAATTTACAAAGAACATATAAAGTTTTATAAACATTTGCATATCAAATAGCTTATTGTAGCAGAATCTGTTTTATATTTGAGATTTATAACGAATAAATCATTATGTTAACAATTTGAACAGAATTAATAAATAGCATTACTAGAAAAAAGACATTTAATTTCAAATAAATTCACAAAAAAGATGTGTGATAAGTGCAAAATTTTTTCATGTAAAATTCTAAGCTATCTTTGGATAAAAAAAATTAAAATTACCTTGGATTTTGTGAATTAGCCATATTTTCATCATCTTTTGTAACCATACAAACAAGAGAACCGGCAAGATTTGTTGTTGTCACTGATAATGCCATCAGACATGATGACATCAGCACGGCAATCATCATCCGCATTGTTAAAAAATAGCCAAGTTTGTGGCTAATTGTGGACTTCTTCCGTTCTTCCTTATCTTTTATGCTACTTGACAAGACTTCATGACCCACGGCGATATTTCTACTCACTATTTCACTTACTGTTGGTATTATTCGAACCATCCTAAAACTAATCATTCATTCATTTATTCATGCTACAAATAACATCGTTTCACTATTAATTTCGTAACTGAATAAGTGATGTAAGTGATATTAAATGATAAAAGTGGTGGAATGAAATAAGTGATATGTCATGCCTTAAAGATTTCGTCATTTAAAACACACGCAATTACCCTTTCCATAACCTTTCACAGTTTCTCTTTTGTTTTTTGAAACATTGCCTAAGAAAACTTTCAAAGTTTTATTTCGTAAGAATTGAGGGAAAAATCCCTTCCGCACATTTCTTCCCTTCAGCTCATCCGTTTCCACGATTTCACTCGTATTACATATCCTTTTTGTCAACTACTTAATTCATCTTGACATAAAAATTTGATATGTATTATTGATAGCTAATCAGTATGCAATTGCTGTAGCCAACAGGAACTAGCTTTTCAATTCTTATTGCGAAATGTATAAGCGTAAATCTCCAATTTTTTTTCTATGATTGCTTAGCAAAGGTACGTATGTTTGCATAAGTCAGTTAAAATCTTGGGACTGCGCAGAGATAGGATGTGTCACTTCCGAAATTTCATAAAACTTTTAACTAAAATAAACTTTTTAAAAGAATATGAAATCATCTTTCTATTGCATTCAATTTTAAACATATATTATTATCATTGATAGTCGAAAGTGATTAAATAACAGAAAGTAAGTTTGAATAGTCGAACAATTCAATCGCAAATGGAAAGTGCTGAACGATTATAGCATGTGAAAATCGGATTTGTTAATTTCTCCGTTTTGATCGGTTATTGTGCCATAAAGGATTGACTTTTAATTATTTCGGA